TTCGGATACTTCGATTCGCTCATCTCTAGTCGCAACCCATTACTTGAGAAACACTGATATAAAGTGATAAAAACAAAAAGACCTGCTCAACCCTTACTGCGCAAAAGAAATCCCTATAGTGAATTCTGTTAGAGAGCATGATGAAGAGGGTCCACCCTCAGTGGTTATGCATGATAATTACAGTGGCTACATGCTCTCTAGCAGGATCCATGACTGGGATTTCTTCTGTGTAGTAAGGCTTAAGCAGGTCTCTTTCTGGATGCCATTGTATGCGATATAGAAGTCTCTAAAGAACATTTGTGAGTATAACATTTTACTATTTTTAATAAAGGTTATATGAAGGTGTCATGCAATGCTTGCGTACTTTCTGCCTGTTCTACAGGAAGCTCTAGCACAAAGGCAAAGTTTCATGCTCTAATACTGCATATATCTATAAGAAATAGGCAAGGATACCAAGATTAAAGTAAGCCTTTACATGCCTTTTTAATTTAGACAATATTTACTTATCCCAGATTTAAAAGGGGAATCTATGTCCACAGCATATACCTTCACTTTATAACATCATAGGTGTAATATCAATACAACCAATAGTTATTTTTGACAATCCAGTAAAAAACTTACTTTGAAAATCTCCTTTCATGTTGTGAGTTCTGTCTTCTTGTCATCTCTTTCCACAACTTCCTGGATTCCCTGCATGCTTTGCAGCTTCTCCTCTGTTGTTTACTTTCAATTTTTAAGGGCTAGATATCCCATGGTACCTTACTGCCTGCAAATAGTGATTACTTTACTGATTCCACCTCCTTAAAGTCATCCTGGTTGCCCCTCTGTAATTCATAAGGCAGGCTCTGGGAAATGTGCAACATAGCAGTACCTACCCACAGAACATAGTGTATATGTGTATATGTCAAAATGTGTCACAGAAATCAAGAAAGATCTTCACAGAGCAGGGGTGGACTGACCATTTGAAAACTCGGGCACTGCCCAAGGGCCCGGGGTCAGTAGGGGGGCCCATGAGATGCCCCTGGTACCTTTTTCATAGGCTTTTTTGAGTTTGGGCAAGGACACAGGGGCCCCATGATCCCCTATTGCCCGGGGCCCCATGAGTTGTCAGTCCGCCCCTGTCACAGAGTAACTTTACAAACAAGATCATGCAAATTATTAGCAATAGGCTAGAAAGAATTGAAATACAATGTGGAGAGTCATATATAATTTTACATTTTGACCTTAGATACGCTTTAAGCTTTAAATACATAATAATAATATAATAATAAACTTTATTTTATATAGCGCCTTTAAAGGTAGCTTCTCAAAGCGATTTACAAAGAAAATACAAGAAATACACAGTATAAAACAAAGGGGGAAAAAAAGGACAATTAAGTGAAAGCTTGTCTAAAGAAAAAAAGTTTTTAGATTTGATTTGAATGAGTTTACAGAAGATGACTCTTTGATGTTCTTTGGAAGTGAATTCAAGAGTTTTGGAGCATAGCAGGAGAAGGCTCTGTCTCCCATCGAGTGTAGATGAGTGGGGGGGGGGGGGGGGGGGGGATACACAGAAGACCAGAATTTGAGGAGCGGGGGTTATGAGGGAGGGAGTAAATGGATAAAAGTTCAGACAGAAAATGGGGTGGCAAGCCATGAAGAGCATTAAAGGTGAGCAAGATTATGTTAAAGTCTATGTGAAACCTGACGGGTAGCCAGTGCAAGGACTCCAGGGTAGGGGTAATATGGTCACTTGTACCCGACCTAGTGAGGATTCTGGCTGCAGAATTTTGTACATATTGTAGTTGATTAATAGTGGATTTAGGTACACCAGCGAATAAAGCATGGCAGTAGTCAAGTCAGGAGAACACAAATGTATGGATCAGCTTTCCAGCTACAGTGTATGATAGCATATGACACAGCCCAGCAATGTTTCTCAAGTGGAAAAAAGATATTCTGACAACATTTTGTACATGTGGATCAAAGGTTTAGCTAGCAACAGATTTTTCAGTTTAGACTGAAGCTCAAGTGTATTGCCATCGACAGGTAGGCCACCCGGACTGGCCTTACACAGTTGATGGGAGGTGCCAATAAGCATGACATCAGTCTTGTCACAGTTTAATTGAAGGAAATTATGGGCCATTCAAGTTTTTATATCACAAATACAGTTATATAGGGGAAAAACAGCCAAAGTAGAATCTGGTTTAGTGTGGATCAGGGGCGGACTGACAACTCATGGAGCCCCCAGGCAATAGGGGATCATGGGGCCCCTGTGTCCTTGCCCAAACTCAAAAAAGCTTATGAAAAAGGTACCAAGGGCATCTCATGGGGCCCTCTACTGACCCCAGGCCCCGGGGCAGTGCCCGAGTTTCCAAATGGTCAGTCCGCCCCTGGTGTGGATGTATATCTGAATGTCGTCAGCATAGAAGTGATCTAAACAGTTGGCTCAGAGTGGAAACATGTAAATGCTAAAAAGTGAGGGACCCAAGATTGAGCTCTGAGGAACACCGTACTTGACTGAAATTCGCAGAGAGAAAAAAGTAACAATGATCAGTAAAATATGACTTAATCCATTTCAGAGCCAATTCTGAGATTCCAAATTTGGATTCAAGATGAGAGAGCAAAAGATTGCATAAAATGCATCAGTGACACCCACAATCAAGTTAAAACTCTGTACAACCCTATTGCCTAATAAATGGCTATATGCAAGAGCCCTCATTTCTTCTATTTTTCCCAATGGCTTCAGCTATTATTATACAATTTTATCAGCAGGCCTACCAGTGTCAATATAGATGCACACATGGTTACAAAATGGTACAAAATAAATGTTGGGTCACTAAAAAGGTATGTTTTGGACAACAGATATGGCACTAAAGATGTTCCTAAAATTGTAGTTTGGAGGGTAAATTAACATAAACTGTTACTTTTTGGTATTACAATTTTGTTATTTTTAACTTTGACAGCTGCAAGCTATATTTTATCAAAGTGTATGTTAAGATCAGGGAAACCAGATTTGTCAGCATTTTAATATCTGTTTGCTAAGGGCTGAACTTGCTGTACAAATTAACTAGTTAAATCAAGCCTTTCATATGACATTGCCTGTTTAATATATAATCCAAATCACAAAAGCAATAAGATCAAATACCAAATTCTGTGTCAGTGCTGCAAGTTAATATTATATATGTCAGGCCTTGCCAGGTGAACCTCTCTCTCTAGTTGTCGCTTACCTGGTAACTTGTTCCATCATTGTTCACTGTAAAATCATGTTCAGAGCAGGGGCGGACTGACCATTTGGAAACTCGGGCACTGCCTGAGGGCCCCGGGTCAGTAGAGGGCTCCATGAGATGCCCCTGATACCATTTTCATAGGCTTTTTTGAGGTTGGGCAAGGACACGGGCCCCATAATCCCCTATTGCCCGGGGAGTTGTCAGTCCGCCCCTGGTTCAGAGAACCCCCCTTTAGAGTCTTTAAGGTATGTGAAGAGTGGGTATACAATGAAACCTAAGCTCCTTAAAGGGTCCTTTATTGTTCATCTTTCCTTCTACACCAGGGGTGCACAACCTGTTGAAGAGCAGAGGCCACCTAAATGATTTAGTAACTGGTCGTGGGCCACAATGGACTATGGAGTTTTATCGGCCCCCAAACCAAAATACTGATGCGCTGCGGTCTACCTGCAGGTTAGCTTCACTGAGCATGAAAGTGCCTCAAAATTCCTGCATTCAGGAGTTTTGGTGCACACCAAGTGCGCAGGATATAATAGAAGTCTATGGCTCAGTGCAGCTAACCCACAGAAAATCCACAGGGGATGCACACAGGGGATCCAAATCACATGATCAGACCAAAGCAGGCTGTAAATAGGTAAGTATAGGCATCTTTTTTACACAGATTAGTCAAAAGAGGTGTTAGGAGGGAGAGGGCACATTTTGAACACACTGGTCAGGTTTAGGCTGCAATTCTACTTTAAGGATGTTTGTATTTTCCTGCAGCCCTTTCAAGCATCATAGTCTGTGTGCACGTCCTCAGAAGCGACCAGTATTACATAAAATACCCTTTTTAATACGTTGGAAAGAGGGATTTGTCCTTAAGTACAGCTCTTCTAAGGACAGGCTCCTCCTTCTCAAAATGTATGGCCACCCTTAGTAAATTGGTATTTTTATTTGTTTTTTCTTTCATAACTGCCTAGGTTTGTACCATTTTTAGTGGGAGATTCAGCAAATCTGTTATATAACATTTGGATTGTCATGTACAATAATGTTAGCTTTTTCAGTGTAATAAATGATGAAAAATGTCAAAATATTGTGAATGTAGTGAATTTGCTGGTACACCTGAATCTACTGATGTATTCAACATCAGCTGTAATAACACATCAGTACACTGATTTTTTTGCATGAATACATATACAGGTGAAATTAATATATGAGATAGACTCATTACATGCAAAGCAAGATAGTTTAAGCCGTGATTTGTCATAATTGTGATGATTATGGCTTACAGCTCATGAAAACCCCAAATCCACAATCTCAGAAAATTAGAATATTACATACAATACCTACAATCAATAAAACAAGGATTGTACATAGAACAATATCGGACCTCTGAAAAGTATAAGCATGCATGTGTACTCAGTACTTGGTTTGGGCCCCTTTTGCAGCAATTACTGCCTCAATGCGGCGTGGCATGGAAGCTATCAGCCTGTGGCACTGCTGAGGTGTTATGGAAGAGCAGGATGCTTCAATAGCGGCCTTCAGCTCTTCTGCATTGTTCGGTTTCATGTCTCTCATCTTTCTCTTGGCAATGCCCCATAGATTCTCTATGGGTTCAGGTCAGGCGAGTTTGCTGGCCAATCAAGCACAGTAATCCCACGGTCATTGAACCAGGTTTGGTGCTTTTGGCAGTGTGGGCAGGTGCCAAGTCCTGCTGGAAAATGAAGTCAGCATCCCCATAAAGCTCATCTGTGGAAGGAAGCATGAAGTGCTCCAAAATCTCCTGCTAGACGGCTGCATTGACCCTGGACTTAATGAAGCACAGTGGACCAACACTAGCAGATGACATGGCTCCCCAAATCAACACAGACTGTGGAAACTTCACACTGGACTTCAAGCATCTTGCAGTGTGTGCCTCTCCATTCTTCCTCCATACTCTGGGTCCTTGGTTTCCAAATGAGATGCAAAAGTTGCTCTCATCAGAAAAGAGGACTTTGGACCACTGAGCAACAGACCAGGTCTGTTTTTCTTTAGCCCAGGTAAGACGCTTTTGACATTGTTTGTTGTTTAGGAGCGGCTTGACAAGAGGAAAACAACATTTGAAGCCCATGTCCAGGATCCGTCTGTGTGTGGTGGCTCTTGATGCACTGACTCCAGCCTCAGTCCACTCTTTGTGAAAGTCCCCAACACTTTTGAATGCCCTTTTCCTGACAATCCTCTCCAGGCTTGTTATCCCTGCTGCTTGTGCACCTTTTTCTTCCACACTTTTCCTTTCCACATAACTTTCTATTAATGTGCTTTGATACAGCACTTTGGGAACATCCAACTTCTTTTGCAATTACCTTTGGAGACTTTCCCTCCTTATGGAGGGTGTCAATGATGGTTTTCTGCACAACTGTCAGGTCAGCAGTCTTTCCCATGATTGTGATTCCTACTGAACCAGACTGAGAGACCATTTAAAGGTTCAGGAACCCTTTACAGGTGTTATGGCTTAATTAGCTGATTAGAGTGGGACACTTTGAGCCGAGAATATTGCACCTTTTCACAATATTCTAATTTTCTGAGATTGTGGATTTGGGGTTTTCATGAGCTGTAAGCCATAATCATCACATTTATGACATATCACGGCTTGAACTATCTTGCTTTGCATGTAATGAGTCTATCTCATATATTAATTTCACCTTTTAAGTTGCATTACTGAAATAAATGAACTTTTGTACGATATTCTAATTTTTCGAGGTTCACCTGTATATATTTATATACATACACAGTATCTCACAGAAGTGAGTACACCCCTCACATTTTTGTAAATATTTCATTATATCTTTTTATGTGACAACACTGAAGAAATGACACTTTGCTACAATGTAAAGTAGTGAGTGTACAGCTTGTATAACAGTGTAAATTTGCTGTCCCGTCAAAGCAACTCAACACACATCCATTAATGTCTAAACAGCTGGCAACAAAAGTGAGTATACCCCTAAGTGAAAATGTCCAAATTGGGCCCAAAGTGTCAATATTTTGTGTGCCCACCATTATTTTCCAGTACTGCTTTAACCCTCTTGGGCATGGAGTTAACCAGAGCTCCACAGGTTGCCACTGGAGTCCTCTTCCACTCCTTCATGATGACATGATGGAGCTGGTGGATGTTAGAGACCTTGCGCTCCTCCACTTTCCGTTTGAGGATGCTCCACAGATGCTCAATAGGGTTTAAGTCTGGAGACATGCTTGGCCAGTTCATCACCTTTACCCTCAGCTTCTTTAGCAAGGCAGTGGTCATCTTCGAGGTGTGTTTGGGGTCATTATCATGTTGGAATACTGCCCTCCTAGTGTAAATAGGAGGTTGCTACCTATATATACACTGTTCAAAATCATTAAAGGAACACTTTGAAAACACATCAGATCTCAATGGGGAAAAATATCATGCTGGATATCTATACTGATATGGACTGGGTAATGTGTTAGGAATGTAAGGATTCCCCATCATTTGATGGAAATGAAAATTATTGACCTACAAAGGACTGAATTCAAAGGCACCCCGAAAATCAAAATGAAAAAATTATGCAGCAGACTAGTCCATTTTGCTGAAATTTCATTGCAGCAACTCAAAATGGTACTCAGTAGTTTGTATGGCCGCCACATGCATGTATGCATGTCTGACAAAGTTGGGGCATGCTCCTAATGAGACGACAGAAAGTGTCCTGTGGTATTTTCTCCCAGATCTGGACCAAGGCATCCCTGAGCTTCTGGACAGTCTGAGGTGCGACCTGTCGTTGTCGGGTGGACCAAAACATGATATCCCAGAGGTGTTCTATCGGATTTAGGTTAGGCGAGCATGGGGGCCATTCAAAAATATTAATTATTTCATCCTCCAGGAACTGCCTGCATACTCTCGCCACATGAGGCACCAGAAGGAACCCAGGACCCACTGTACCAGTGTAGGGTCTGATAATGGGTCCAAGGATTTCATCCTGATGCCTAATGGCAGTGAGGGTGCCATTGTCTAGCCTGTAGAGGTCTGTGCGTCCCTCCATGGATATGCCTCCCCAGACCATCACAGACCCACCACCAAAACGGTCAAGCTGAACGATGTTACAGGCAGGATAACATTCTCCATGGATTCTAAAGACCCTTTCACATCTGTCACATGTGCTCAGGGTGAACCTGCACTCATCTGTGAAAATCCCAGAGCACCAGTGGCGGACCTACCAATTCTGGTGTTCAATGGCAAATGCCAATCAAGCTCTATGGTGATGGGTAGTGAGCACAGGGCCCACTAGAGGACGTCGGCCCCTCAGGCCACCCTAATAAAGTCTGTTTCTGATTGTTTAGTCAGAGACATTCACACCAGTCGCCTGCTGGTAGTCATTTTGTAGGGCTCTGGCAGTGCTCATCCTGTTCCTCCTTGCACAAAGGAGCAGATAACGGTCCTGCTGATAGGTTAAGGACCTTCTATGGCCCTGTCCAGCTCTCCTAGAGTAACTGCCTGTCTCCTGGAATCTCTTCGAAGCTCTTGAGACTGTGCTGGGAGACACAGCAAACCTTTTGGCAAGTTACATAGTTACATATACTTACATAGTTGGTTTGGCTGAAAAAAGACTAAAGTCCATCTAGTTCAAGCATAAAAAAAGTTATAATCCTATACCCACAGTTGATCCAGAGTAAGGCAAAAAATCCAGCAAAGCATGATCCGATTTGCTCCTTCAGGGGAAAAATTTCTTCCTGATCCCCCGAGACACAATCTGATATTCCCTGGATCAACTTTACCTATAAATATTAGTATCCAGTTATATTATGTGTATCAAGGAAAGAGTCCAAGCCTTTTTTAAAGCACTCCACTGAGCTAGCCAGAACCAACTCTTGAGGGAGTCCATTCCACATTTTCACAGCTCTTACTCTGAAGAAACCTTTCCATATTTGGAGATTAAATCTCTTTTCCTCCAGACGTAAAGAGTGCCCCCTTGTCCTCATGAGCTCAGGGTGAATAACTCTACACCGAGTTCGCTATATGAACCACTGATGTATTTATACATGTTGATCATATCCCCCCTTAATCTCCTCTTCTCAACAGAGAATACATTTGGTTCATCTAATCTTTTCTTATAGCTGAGCTCCTCCATGCCTCATATCAGTTTGGTTGCCTTTCTTTGCTCTTTCTCCAGTTCTCCAATGCTCTTTTTGTGAATTGGTGCCCAAAACTGAACTGCATATTCCAGATGAGGTATTACTAATGATTTGTACAGGGGTAAAATTATATCACTCTCTCTGGAGTCTATACCTCTTTTAATACAAGAGAGGACTTTGCTTGCTTTAGAAACAGTAGCTTCGCATTGAATTATTAAGCTTACAATCTACAGAAACCCCAGATCCTTCTCCACCATTGATTCCCCCAGTTGTACTCCCCCTAGTATGTATGATTCATGCATATTCTTAGCCCCCATGTTCATAACCTTACATTTATCCACATTAAACCTCATTTGCCACATAGTTGCCCAATTAAACAGTGCGTTGAGGTCGGCTTGTAAATTGGAGACATTCTGTAAGGACGTTATTCCACTGCATAGATTGGTGTCATCTGCAAAGACTGAATTGTTTTTTTTTAATCTTAGATCTATATCGTTTATAAATATATTTAAAAGTAAGGGTCCCAACACTGAACCTTGGTGTACACCATTGACAACCCTAGACCATTCAGAGTATGAATAATAAACCACTACTCTTTGAATACAATCTCTTAGTCAATTTTCTATCCATTTACAGACTGATTTTTCCAAGCCTGTAGACTTTACCTTACTCATTAGTTGTGTGTGGGGAACTGTGTCAAACACTTTTGAAAATCCAAGTATATCATGTCCATAGCCACCCCCTTTTTCACCGCTTTTATATGGACATTATTAATAAGCTCTGAATGGTTTGAGATTACCAGGTCCAGCAGAGCATCATTCCTAGTTGGGGCCTCTATGAACTGTACCATAAAATTGTCCTGTAGTAGGTTTATAAAGTTTTGCCCTTTAACTGTTCCTGCAGTACCATTACTCCAGTCAATTTCCGGGTAGTTAAAATCCCCCATTATTATCACTGTCCCAGCCCTTACAGCCCTTGTGATCTGTGCAAGGAGCTGAGTCTCCACCTCCTCATTAGCACTGGGTGGCATATAACATACTCGAACAGTTACCTTTCTAGTATGCACCCCCATGTGCAGTTCCACCCATAATGCTTCAACCTTATCACACTCTTCATCAACTAGGTCCTTTTTCACACTCATTCTAAGATCACTTCTCACATAGAGAAAGACACCACCACCTTCTCTTTTTACCGTCTCTCTGAAAGAGAACATAACCAGGAATATTAATGGCCCGTTCATGTGAAGAATGAAGTACAAATTCAGCAATACCAATTAAATCATAGGTTTGTTCATGCACCAAAGTTTCCAACTCACCTATTTTGCTTGGCAGACCGCTGGCATTGGTGAACAAAGACTTTAATCCACTGACACCTTGTGCACAGGTATTTTACATATTTTGTTTATTTTTGTACAAATGGTACCAATTCCAATGGTTGTTTGTAACATGGGAACCTGCTTATCACCTGCCATATAGCCCTCTCCCCATCTTTCCCCATTCCACCCACCAATAAGGACTGCCCCCTGTCTGATCTGTCTGCCTCATTAAAATCTAATTCTCCCTCCCCCTCATTTCTAGTTTAAATATTCCTACAACCATCTCATAAAACCTCTCCCCCAGCACAGCAGACCCCCTTCCATTTAGGTGCAAACCATAGCTAGCATATAGGTTGCACCCCAATGAAAAGTCAGCCTAGTGCTCTAGAAATCCAAATCCTTCCTTCTTACACCAGGTCTTTAGCCATGCATTTAGTTCTCTAATCTCCCCCTGTCTTTCCTGAGTTGCGCATGGCACAGGTAATATTTCAGAGAATATCACTTTGGAGGTCCTTCCCTTCAACTTGCAGATTAGATCTTTAAGTTGATTCTTAAGGAGCCTCCACCTTCCATGTATTCTGTCATTGGTTCCAACATGCACCAAGGCAGCTTGGTCATGCCCAGCCCCTCCCAGTAATTGATCAACCAGGTCCACCACATGCCGAACCCTGGCACCAGGGAGACAGCAATCCATTTGGTTGAGATGATCCTGCCAACAAATTATGCTATCAGTCCTTTTGATTATAGAATCCCCTATTACCACCAACTATCTAGGCCTTCCTGCACTGCCCTTACAACCCCTCCCAGATTATAAAACTGGTAATGAATATTTTTCTTTAATTATTTCAGACAAAAATGCTCTATTCTGCAATACAGTATAATTAACTTCCAAATAGCAATTGTTCTGCATGTTTCTTTTACTTCATTTCAGAAATATAAAATACCTCCTATGCTTATTTGTTGGCAGAACTATGTTTTATTCTGTTGCAACACATTATGTTAATCATTGTAACCTATTTAAAGCTGTGTGTTGTACACTCCTATCTCATCATAAACATTGATTTTCCTAAGGAACGTATTGGGTTCAGGTGTCTTATTTTTAACTATCCTGGCGACCACAGATATATCAACTGTTCTGGTGATATCCTATTATTTTTAACAACAAATATGGGCCGAGGTCAGCAATCATTGTGTTATATATATCATCATGGTATGTGCATGTGCTTATAATGACCATCCTGTGTCTTCACTACAGTTTTTCTGGGATCTGCTATATTTTTACACCACTAGGGTTAAAAAACATTAACAGGTGTTTTCCTAAGGGCATTTGTACATGGAAAATGCTGTGTACTTTCAGGTGAATTCAGCTGGCTTCTGACCCATGTAGGACCCAATCAGGGGCAGACTGACCATTTGGAAATTCAGGCACTGCCCGAGGGCCCGGGGTGAGTAGGGGGCCCCATGAGATGCCCCTGGTACTTTTTTCACAGGCTTTTTTGAGTTTGGGCAAGGACACAGGGACCCCATGATCCCCTATTGCCCGGGGGCCCCCTGAGTTGTCAGTCCGCCCCTGGACCCAATTCTGACTTACTTCAAAGTTGCTTTAAATTCATCTTAATTTATATGGGTAAAAAGCCACTACGACAAATGCCTCTACATACAAGTTCTTAGAAATTATTTCCCAGCTGTATTTCTTTTTTCTATAGTCAGTTTAGAAATGTGAAAGAAAACACTGACTATTATGGACAATGTTACTTCTTTATTTCTATAAATAAGCCTTAATCTGTTTATTCTTTAACCTTTAGTCCGTTCATATTTTTGTGAACTGCTGTCATCATTGCACCTGCAACTCCACCCCTCTCCCAATCTATGCCCAAACTACTCCAACCACGGGAACATTTTTGCTAGTAATAGAAAAACCTATTACATGTGCTATCTACCATAAGGGTTTTAAAGGCCCTATTTAGCATTAAATATGAAAAACAAATTAAAAATCCCAGGCTTTTCTAGTATTCTAAGCTTTAATGAAATTTCTCAAGCAGGACATAACAGAGATCTAAAACACAATGCCTGGGAAGTTCAAGCTATTTCCATTCTTTCTTTGGGGTTTACCCTTTCTCTTTTTTTTCTATTGAGAACATAATAAGCTGTGAATTCCTTCCATGGTTAACCTAGCCTTGTGGAAATTAAACTAGGCTTACATTTGAACCAATTTGACTGTAGTATAAAATGACTATTTCTAAAAGCAGTCTTTATATTTTCGTCACCTCAAGTGGAAGAATATATGAATTCACCATGCATTACTCATTAGTGTGAATTAAGAACGATAGAGTTATCTTAGGAACTATATGATGTATCTTTCTCTCCCTTAAATATCTCTATATCACTATTAAATCCTAGTGAACTGTGCACTAATGCAATAAAAAACCCCAAAGGAATGTCAACAAAAATAGAGGAGTCTTCAAAAAGTGTCTGCATTTTTATATATGTGTTAGTGGATGCAGGGCTGTATTTACCACAAGGCAAACAAGGCATTTGCCTAGGGTGGCATTTTTCAGGGGAGCATCACCCCCCCCCCCAGAAGAAGTGAAGGAAGAAGGGACACACGTGGCATGGGGACCAGGTTGGGTTCCGAGAGAGGCTGTAGGCTGCTTGACAGCGTATGCAGAGCCCAACTCTCATTTCTGGGGATGTCCGGAGCTGTTAAGGTGAGTGTCTTCTCTCTCTTGGTGGGGGTTGGCAAGTGTATGGGGGGCGGTAGTAGTGGAAAGCTTTTTTGGGTGGGGGGGCAGGACTGTTGTTCGTCAATGTCAGGCTCTCTCTGAAGGGGGGGCGGGGGTGTTGATCGGTGTCAGGCTCTTTCTGCGAAGGGGGGGGCTATTTTAGTGTTGCCTAGGGCAGCACAAAACTTAAATACACCACTGAGTGGATGCATTACAAACAAACTTGAGTCCACCACAGTGATTGTGAAATATTATGTAAAAGTCCACTAAAATTATATAATATGTAATAATGACTTCTTGTGACCACATAAGTTCTCCAACACCCAGTGAATCAACATCAACACCAGGGACACTTCACCACCACCATTAAAAAAACACACCTCTTACCGACCCCTAAATATGGAGGTCACAAGTACTATTTCATAATATTAAGCAGATGGTTACTGGCAAGGGAATCATTCTTACAGCCCCAGGGTATTCTTTTTCACTTTTCGGAATTCTCATGTTATATGTTTCTCATCATAGAAGAGTCCATATATAGCGTAACCCCATAAAATGAATCTAAATGTATTGTAATCATAATGTACTCACACAGCAGCAAAATAAATAAAGCTCTTCACATTCTGCCATACAGGGCCCTGCCCTATGCATGTTTCATCAAATTACGTATTCGGGGGAAACAGGAACACAGAATCTGACAGTGACCAGATGTCCTAAATACACACAGCAAATAAAGGAAGAGGGAATCACTCCAAACTCCTGGCAGAATTATAGTAATATTTAATGTGTTACTAAACCCACAACAGTAAAATCAGTCTGTATGTACATTAAAGCATGCTTGTTATACTCACTGTGGAACCTAAGGGGTTAAAATGCTGTTTGATTCTGACTTCTCTGATCCTCCCCTTCTTCCAGTGCCCCCTTATTACCTGATAAGACATATTGTGTGGAGGCACTTTTCACATGCTAAGTTTGGTGTGTATTGCTAGAGAGTTTTTTTTTTTTTTATTTCTTGAGAGAGTGCAGGTGATCAGCACAAGGCCAATCAGTACTGTCCAGACAGAGGTCAGGGTCCTGCATCCTCCTAGAGCAGAAAGAAAACTCCTCCCACAAGCGTTAACACTGATCACAAGACTGCTCTAACTGCTGATGAGAAAAGGTATTTAGCAGTTTATATTTACTAAAATAATTGCTTTTCCATGTTCTGTGTTGTGTGGGAGACCAGATATAGTGAATGCTCTCTTTTTAGGTTCTAAATGATTATGGGATCATGGGATGTTTTTGCAGCTTTCATATTACTTTGCATTAGTTTGATTCTGCCAGGAGTTTGGAGTAATTTCCTTTTCCTTTCATTTCTGTCTGTATTGAAGACATCTGGTCACTGTCAGATATCCCAGGTTCACGTTTTCCCCTGATGTCATTTCTGACAAAACATGTGTAGAGCAGGACACGATTTTACTTCACTGCGCATATGCACCGTATGGAATATGATGAGCTCCATTTCTTTTGCTGTTCTGTGAGTAGTTTATATAAATACTGTGTATATATATATATATATATATATATATATCAAATAAGGCACTAACTGGCAGAATTGTAGATGGCGTATATGTGTCACCTACGTTTCTACCATTTAGACATTTAGTTTTCTCAGGATCTTAGTTCTGGTCTGATTTCTGGAGCCCTGGTAGCTAGACCTCATACTTATATTAGTCTCAGCTATCCGCCTTTATATATGTTTAGTTTGGTTTGTGCTTTGGACATGCTGTACAAAGCTCTCAAGCAACAAAATTCTTTGTTTGTAAAAGCACAGGATAAACCTGCCCAGACTGTTCCTAGGTGTCACTGTCTCATGCATTGTTTAGCACTGACAGTACCAAGTGAGCCTGTTCCGTTACAACTTGGTACTATGGAGAAACAGACATTCATGCTTTATCCAATGGTAAATTGCTGACAATGAGATAAGACCCTTATGAGATCAGAGCGAAAATAAGTGGCATCATCTATCAGACATACTAATCCCAAACCCTTCCAAATATTCCATGTAGTTGACAGCTTGATCTCTATATGCTGGAAGCACACAGTGAGCATGCTGTCAGCACAGAAACATCAGCTGCCCAGTGATGTACAGTATATGTGTGGCATGTGGCCATTTTTGCCCCTATGTGTTAAGTGGGCAGCAACAGATTAACATGAAGCAGTGAAGGCTACTTTTTATATCGGATTTGTACATTTATTATTATTTATTTTACAAAAGGTGAACTTAACCTTTAAAGGATAAGTTCACCTTTGTAAAAAACAATAAATGTACATCTTTTTGAAGGTAAAAATTCATTTGGCCAGCTCCTTCTCCCGCCCTCTGTCCTGAGCCATGTTGTCTTCCGCTCTGCACTGAGAATGACAGCAGCAGTGGAGGAGGCTGGGGGAAGGGGGGAAAAGGGACCTCTTTGCGGTCTATCTGTCACATGCCCGCAGTCAACTGGTAGACCGCGATCGAAGGGTTGCTGACCCCTCGCTGTAATGCATTGCACCTGCAATTGTCAGATCGTGGGCGCAATGCCTGGATCCTGCAGACTCTCTCAGTATACTGTCTGCCCATACACCGTACGGGCAGGCAGTTATTGAATGAGAGTAAGGATCAATGGGAAAAGATCAATGAACTACCTAGAGTGCTCACCAGCACCCTGGTAGTTCATTGAGAACTACAAGCCATTTTTTTAAATAGTGACAGCAAGTGTGGGGAGACGTTCCCCAGCTTGGTGTCACAGGAAGGCAGTCGATCAGGGAGAGGCTGCAGAAGGGGGGGAAAACTAAAAATGGGTTGAACATTTTCCCAATGGTAAACGTATCCTTTAATGAACAACGAAGGCTGCAGTAGTTGAATCTAGCTATGTTGGACCAAGGTGGTCCTGCTGCTGGATGAAAAAGCTGATAGAACAGTAAAAAAAAGTACAAAATATACCTGTTTGTTTTGGAGAACACATTGGGAGGATCCCATTAGTCAGAAATCAACATGAATTTAGTTATTAGCTCAAATTATATTTTGTTTGGTTTATGCTGTGGATTTGCTGTACAAATCTCATCCCCTGGTATTGAAACTGTGTTTATTTGCCGCTTTGCTGAGAAATAATGCACAGTACAACCCTGCTTGAACTATTCCACTTTTCTTGGTTGTCTCTATAACGTAGTTTACCTGCCAATACCAGCTGAGCCTTTCCACATTACAATACATATATATACAGTGTATGTATATATATATATTATATATATATATATTCTAATTTTAGCAACACCTTGCAACTGCTTGATAAATACTTTTAGATTTAGACCCTAAATTTTAGCTAAACTGTTTAACTTTGTATTCTTTGCTGGAATAAAGAAGGATTATAACATCTACCTGTGTCCCTACTAAGCAGGGTTCCCCTCACTTTTCATTCTTTCTGAAACCCACCACGGGGACAGATAATGACTAGAAATTCTACTGGGGACACAGGTGATTTTTTTTTTTATTGTACCCCCCTTTTAGGTATGGAAAACTCTATGATTTATTTTTAATTTTGTCCTATATGTTCTAACTTTCTGTGTAAGCCGAGAGCGAGTAACAATCAAGCACTGTACAAGTATTGACTAGAAAAGTACAGAGAAAAAGTGATGATGATGCATAATTCCCACCATGAAACTCAAAAGATGAAGTTGATCATTATGAAACTTGCACTCATTGTTTATATGTCATGATTTAAGAATAGTAAAGGGAAGCACCATAAAGCTTACACAATTTTAAAGTGACTTCTTTCAACAGCTTATTATCTTCCACAGGTGTTCTATGTGT